GACCAACCGAGAAGACAGCAGCGCCCCCACTCCCTGGCAGGCGCTCTCGCTCTCCTGGACTCCGGACCATAGATCTAACGCCCCGCCAGGGAGCTCTTCAGTACCACTGCCCTTCCGTTTGGTCTCCGACATACACACGACATCTAATTCTCTTTCTTTCATTATTTCGATCAACTCATTCGTCTTATCTCTCATGCCTCCTCTAACATTCCACGTGCCAAGTCTGCATTCTGTCCTCCACCTTCCGCCGTGTCGGGTTGTGCGTGACGGTCCCCATCGCCGCTTTGCGCGCTGCATTCCACACCAACGGATTTCTCTAATTAATAAAAGTATATTTTTAAAATCACTGCGTCTATCAAAAATTTTACTATAGCAAACTGAAATAAATAATGATGAGAAATACCTACTTCTTGCATTTTAGACATTTGAATATACCAGGAATATACATATAAAATGTGTAAAAGATAATTATAAGTTCAGATATTTATTGAGTTCTATAAGATTCATAATATGTAGATATGTAAAAATTATTAGCGTATTGATTCAGTTATAATAATTTAAGTGTTCCCAGTAGTTTTAAATAACTTTAAAATTAAAGTGATGCAATTAATGTGCATCATCAGTCCATAGACATTCTACTTGTTTATGTGTAACTTACGGGCAGGTGTTCGAGAATAGGATCAGCACTGCGATTGTGTAACTCTCTCTTGGTCGGCCTTGTTTTGACGTTTGCCAATTTTCTTTTGTACTGAGAAAACGTTTTAGTGTCGATATTTATATATTCATATCTTAATTTAGATCACAAAATATAACGCAGTGAAAAAACTTAACGCAGATAACCAGATTTATCTTCTTTTTCTCTCTTCATTCTTCATTTCAAAAAGGCCTTTTAAGTCCTTATAGTTATACTATACATAACATTCAACTGGCCATCTGGCTACTTTCAAAAAAGACTAACTACATTTGGGTGGTATGTATTGGCGATAGCAACATCAGGCGTCTCTCATTTTGACTCTGCTCCCAGTTATTCACCTACAACCTAGATATTTTTGGTCTAGCTATTTTTATTATGGTTTTTCCGCTATTTCTTAGAATTACGAATTTTCTAGAGATATATCGTTGTCAAGAGAACCGTGATAATGCAGGAAATAAAAACAATAAAGAAACTTTGAAATTTTTAGTTGCTAGTGTAGATCTGCTACGTGCTCAATAGTGAAGGATATCATCGTGTGGCAACTTGCACGTTTGAGGGATTGAAAGTATTCTCAGTCATTTGAAATTGACAACCCCTCTTAGAAATGAGACGAGACTTGTGCCCAGCAATAGGACGTGTGTCGGCTATTAATGTTCCTTTTTAACCGACTTCAAAAAGGAGGAAGTACTCAATTCGACTGTGTTTTTTATGTGTTACCTAATAAATTTTTTGTAGGTGAATCGATTTCGATGATTTTCGTTTATTTGTAAGCTGGTGCTTCTCATGTGGTCCCATATAAATTTGATCAAGGTCTGACCAGTACAGTAGTTTTTGAGTTATCCTTAATAATTTATATTAAAGTCGGCTGTACAAAATTTTTCATTTTGTTACTTGTTATTTTATACCTTAATCTACTTTTGTGAAAGACTACGGGACGAAATGGAGTGCATAGATTCTCATACGCTATGTCGCGCTTGTCTCACGTATCGACAGTAGTAGTCGGCGTATTAGACGTCCATTACACGGTAGGTTTTGCTGTCAGTTTTACAACAATCACGGTTGTGATTGACGAATAACCTATCGTGTAATGTAGTTATTGACAGTTGCATGAAATTGATTGACAAATATCTGGATATTTTGATTTTTACGTCAATCAACTATTCAGTCACGAATTTTGATTTAACGTGTAATGGCATTTCATCAATCACGCGTCAGTCAACGCTCAGACAGCAATGGAGGCGGACGCAGAATATATTGAAGAGGCGGGTTTCACGCGCTCGCGCAGCCCGTCGCCACTCCCGGCAAATGTGCTTCAGCCAGAAAAAGACTATTTTAAATTTTGAGGCTCTCCCCGAGTTGTGGGACACGAAAAACCTCGGGTAGGTTGGATGCCCCTAATACCAGCCACGCCCCTAATTCCAGCCTTTCCGCCTTTTTACTTCGTAAATAATATTTCTAGTAGTCTTAACTACAAATATGGTCGGCTAAAAATTCTTCGTAATTAGAGGAAAGTATATTTCAAATATTACCTCACAGTTTTAAACCTAACAGTGTTAAATTAAAAATCAAAACATAAGCATATTTTACATTAGCTCATCTTTAGGCTTTTTGATTTGTATGAATGTGACTATAGACATAGTAATGCAGCTATTTTTGTTTAAATTTATAAGTTTTTTATTTTATTTTAGTGGAAATTAATGGGGCTGTAATTAGATATACGAAATTTATGGAGTGCATAATGTCAGTGGCCCGACTGTTATTTGGTTTGACGTAAATAATAAGAAGTACCTTATTTCAACCACGTAATATAAATCAGGGCTGTCATAAACTAGCATAAATACCATTAATTTGAACTCACACAGAAAACCAACGTAGAATAGCAGCTTAACGCTGCTGTGTTTCGTATGGTGAGTGTAGAGAACCAGAGACCCTTTTTACTGGCAAAGAGGCATTCCATCTTAGTCCTCACGGGTGACAACGCATCTGCATCTTGAGTCTATATTGAGGATAGATGTAGATGTTTATGGGTCATAGTAGCCACTTACCATCAGGTGGACTGTGTGCTCGTTTGTCACCCTATCCTATATAAAAAAAAACATAACTTATTTTATAGTTAAGTAAGTTATGGTCAATTCGTCTATATTTTAAAATTGGTGTTTGATTTAAAAGTTTAACAAATGATACGTACTTGCTTTTCAGACATTTGGTATATGTTAAGAACACCATACAATATTTAATTATTTTTTGGGAAAGACAAAAACAAACAATAAATGTAATTAACTACAACTTAGTAATACTAATTTTATTATAACTTAAGAACATAAATGAAAAAGTCATAACAAGGAAAGTGGTTCAGGACCATGCTTTGCGGCAGTCTATGGAGGATGATGTTCTGTAGTCGACTTGTGAAGGGCTGAAATGATGATAAAGATTGTAAAACTTGGATGATTAAATTATAAGAAATCGGTGTACTATAATACATAATTTTTGTTATAATATTATTTTAATTAATTGTTTAGTGTTAAAAGATAAAAATGTAACTGCTTAAAACTAAACCACAGTAAGGTAAGAAGTAAAACATTAAAATAAAATAATTGTTGTCGTCTATCTTAATACATATTCCATACTTGTGACATGCATGATTTAAAATTAAAAGTTGTTGTGAATTTATTTCAGTGTCCCTAAAATTTACCTACAATAGGTACCTACCAAAAACTCAAAAGGCATAGCCCTATGCTATGCTGGCATTAGATACACAAAAGGAAATTGAAATTGGCACTAAAAGGCTGGTAATAGGGGCATCCACCCTATACGAATAAATGTACAAGTTAAGCTTATTTTTCGTCCATAAATGCGTTTTAAATAAAGCCGCGTATCGATTATGCACTCCAAGAGGTCTAACATTTGCGCGCGTTAAATTAAAATGGGTAATATGATATTAAATATTACAATTTTTCCTATTCGTTTTTTTTCTTTTTCTTTTCAAGATATAAAATTATAATTAAATGGTGAATCGAAAATGAACTTAGGTTATAGGTACGTCCTTTCACTCCGAAAATTTGGGTTTGACTGACGATCAGTCAGCATGAGCGTGTAATGTCCAAATTATTCCATCATTCAAACCTCAGTCATGATTAATCGAACTGATTGACGCTTGCCTAGGCGTGTAATGGGCGTCTTAGATGGTTTAAAAAAATATAAATAATTGTTAATAAGCTACTGATACTTTTAAAGATATTTGTGCCCTTTTAAATGACTTAGATTAGATAATATACCCTTTCCGATTTATATAAGGCGACAATATCCACCTATTTACGATTACATGTAGAATAAGGGTGACAAACGAACACAATCCACGTGATGGTAAGTGGATGCTGTGACCCATAGATACCTATATCTATCCTTGATTTAAAATCAAAGTGTAGATGCGTTGTCATCCCTGAGAATGAAGATAGAAGGCCTTGATACCAGTAAAAAGGGTCTCCGGATCTCTACATTTACCATATGAAACACAGCAGCATTAAGCTGCTATTTTACGCTGGTATTCAGTGAGAGCATGGTCCTTCCTTTCCTTCCAAAATATATGCCGTTCAATGCTTTAATTTCTTGTTATATTATATATTATTAACTGACGAAACAAAGTTCGTTCGGCAGGAGTTATTATCCTATTTACACATCATTTTATTTTTAAATATCGATTATATGTACGGATTAATGGAAATTCCTAGAACTACAATGTGACATTTCGTAGAATTTAAAAAATAAATGCCTTAAAACTACGCTATTTCTGTTTCTGATAAGGCCTTGATCTCCAGTAGTGTTCAATTTACAATAATTCTTAGTAGCGAAACCTGTTTAATTCATTTTAATGTGTTGTTTTGTCAATTATCATATTTATAATATTTTGTCTCTTTCACAGGCACTATAACGAGGTAGGCGGTGACGGAAAGTCAAAAATCAGAAAATTCGCAAGTGTTGTGGTGTTAACGCGTGTATTTCGTTGTGATTATGCCATATTTTGAAAATTTTATAACGCGTTGGCAATAAATAAAAATTGAGTGATGTAGTTTTATCTTTGACGTATTCCGTTCAGAAGTGCTCCAATTTGTTTAATGTAAAAAAATTGCTCAAATAAATAGTTCCTTACAATGGCTAGTGACTTGAATGGTAAAAAAATACGTCCATATAGTGAATTGATCAGTGAACTTATAAATTAAATGTAATTAGTTATTATGGAAAAGTGGTTTTAACGAAGCTGTGAACAGCGCCATCTGTTATTCAGTAGCTGCAATGTGTACTTGATAAAATGGAAGCCGGTTTTATACCGGTCGGCGCCAGCGGCAACGCTAACAGTAATGCGTTGCTGCCCGCAGTGGTGGCGCCACCGGCGAATGTTATCCGTGCGCCAAGTCTCAAGCGCGGAAAGATGGAAGAGGCCATTTCAGACCGGGTGAGTTAATTTCAGTTTTGTTTTTATACGTAGTTATTGAACATTAGCAACTTTTTCTTATTCATGTACAAGGTAGGGTCGCTAAACACACTGAATTTATCGCTTATTATCATGTTGACAGTTTTATATTTAAGCGAGCATGATAAAATCCATGTGAAAAAAGCGAGACAGGTGTGTCAGAATTGTGCTTTGTGCCAATTGGAAGTCCGTAGTTTCTGCCTACCCCTTTAATGTCACCTAAAGGGGTCACCTAATGTGAGTGTTTATATGTAATCTATGTAGTTTTATATTTAATAATTTTACACAATAATAAATACTTAATAATTTATGTTATCTGCGCATGCCATTTTTTATGCTATTCTATACAATTACCAAAATACTGCCTTCATTACTTATGAACTATATTACTTTAGATAACTCATGGAATTGACGACAATATTATATAATTAAGGTTGTTCAAAGAATATGTACTAATTTCTCGTAAATATTCTTTAACAGATTTAAAAAAAAAGTCGAGGTTCTCATTGTAACGGCAACGTGCATTTTTTCTTTAATTTATTTTTCTTTTTTAAAAAAATATCGTGGAGGCAGTTTACAAACATAGATTGCACGGAGACAAACATCCAGACCCGAAACAATTATTTGTAGGCTATACAAATTCTTGTTCCGCGCGGGATTCGAACCCGCGGTCCCCAGCGCAACAACTCATTGCTAAGCCACTGCGCCACGGAGCCGTCAATATTACTAGTAATATGAAAAATGAATAGCAGTTACCGACAAAACAAAATTTGGAAGAAGCCCGCACTTCAATTTAAGAAGTATTTCAGATCAGACTGAGTGAAAATATGGAGCCGGTTTATATTTTTTTAAATTATCTATCCCTTTTGTTCTCGACTTGAATGTATTTCTTTGATATAGGATCGTAATTTGATGACATTTATTCTGTAAATTCAATACATTTAATGTCAATGTTATTGTTTCTTAAGTTACTTCTAATGATTAAATTCATAAAGAATATACTTTTAATATCATGCGCTGTCTATGGTTAGCCCAGATTTTGTCGTTTCACAAGGTGAGAGCACTTCACCTATTAAACGAAGATACTCTTTTTAGAAGTGGTATCTTAAAGCTAAAAAGACTTAAGATAAGAAATTTGATTATAAAAAGATTTCAATTTTATTTTAATGAGAACAGAAAATGACTGTTTCGTGTAATCGCACTTCCACTATCTACGATAGAATTACAATGTATATATAATATGTATTACCACATACTTTAACTACACGCACACGATTAATGGTAAAATAAAGACGACATAAATTTGATTGCTCGGTAGCGTAGAGTGGCAGGTTGCGGATTTGAATCCCGCACGGTTGTTTTTATAAAACTGAAGTAACAATAAACTAACAGTTCGCGTGGTGCTAAGCGGCTACTAACCCTGGACACCTGTAGCCAGACTTTTAGTCTGTCGAATGAAATGAAAAAATAAAAATCAAGTGGGTCAAAAATAGTATATATAATTAACCGGAATAAATATTGCAGTCTTCCATTCAACACAATACCACATTCACTATAACAACAATATAAAAAAAAAACTAGATCGACGATTCTGTAATATAACACCAACCACAAACATATTATATATACCTATATACCTATATGACGTTCTAATGGGATGAAATGAGGTAATTTTGAATCCATGTGTATCAATTTTATTTCTTTCATATTCCAAAATTAAATAGATAAGATCATCAATTAATACATGCGAGTGAGTATAAAAAATAACCTGTTTTGCGCTAAGAAAACGAGTTTATTTTTTATAATGGAAAAAAATTATTCTGTTTTAAATAATACATACTTTAATGTATTTTTAATTTACACTTTTAATGAATTCCTTTTAACGATTTGGAGGTGATTTTTCGATTATCAGGTAAATGCAAATATATGTTCAAGCAGGCGTCAACTCTTTGTTTGACGCTATTGCTAGATTCAATATGGATTTAACGAATCTCCACAGTTGTTGTCGTAAGTTTGGTATCAGTGTGAACCCCAATAAATGCCAAGCTATAATAATTGTTAGTGCTCAACAATTGTGTAAGCTTGACGTCCATTGCGTTCCACCTGTCACGTTTGATAATTCTATCATACCATATTCTGACAGCATAAGAAAATCTGGTTGTCTACTTTGACACAATCTTAAGTTGGTCCACCCAAATTCAGAATATCAGTGGCTCTGTTTTTGCTAAGCTTTGAACCATCTCAGGAACTTTCTTCCGGTCAAGGTAAAGATAACTCTGATGCGATCTCTTATGTTGCCTATTATTGACTATGCTCATGTATATTTTCCTGATCTCAATGAGGTTTTCCTTGACAAGCTGGATTGTCTCGTCAATAATTGTATCCGTTTTATTTTTCGTCTTCGCTAGTTTGATCATGTATCCTCATTCCGCACTTAGCTTAAATGGCTTCCAATTCGTCAGCGAAGACGCATTAGGATACTTAACACAGTTTTTTCTATTTTATTCGTTAACCACTATTTAAATTATCTGAAACTTAAGTTTCAGTTTCTGTGGGACACTCATGACAGACAGTTTCGTTCATCAGAAACTCTTGCTCTCTTTACACCCCTTCACCGTTCGAGTTTCATATCTTCATCGTTTGCTGTACAAGCCGCGCGCCTAATGAATGACCTGCCTGAAAAATTAAGACCACCTACCTGCAAACAAACATTTACTTAAGAAGAATGTCCGAGATCATTTTCTAAAATTGCTTTGCAACTGCTAAGTTCCGTAATCATTATAGTTGTAACCTCTTTATATTAGTTTCATCAAAAAAAAAAAAACAGTAATTGAGTTTTTCCATCAAGAAATTCTCAGTAGCTGCCCGGAGTCAGGAAGTTGGAGGTGTCTCACCCCCGTGCCTCGGAAAGCACGTCAAGTCGTTGATCCTGCGCCTGATCTCTCTCCGGTCGTGTCGGTTTACCGTCCCATCGGACTTTGAGAGCGAGGGAATAGAGAGTGCACCTGTGCTTGCGCATACACTTGGGCACTATAATCCTGTTCTGCGCCGATGGCTAGTCTCCGTTGAGACTGGCTGCCGTAACCGAAATTCGGTCTGGAGGACATTAGTTTCATCAGTATATTACGTATCTTGTATTATATTATATTTTCATATAATATATAAATTCATATATATATATATATATATATATATATATATATAGTGATGTATGTGTGTATATATATATATGTATATGTATGTATAATATGTATATGTATGTGTGTATGTATATTTCTTTGTAACCGCCTTCGTAGTTCTATCACTGCCCTAAGATTGACTGGCAGAGAATGCTTTTAGCATTAAGCCCGCCTTTTGTTCTTGTACTTAATTTGTAAGGTTCATTAAAGTTTAAATAAATAAATAAATTAAAGTTACTCATAAACAGAATTACAACATTAAACAGATTAAAAATTATAGTTGTATAAACAAAATAGTTCAATCGTTTAATTTTTTTGTCAGGTTATAATTTCTTTTATGGATGATACCTTTTATATGACGATTGAAAATCAGTCCTAAAGCGAATTTCCTAGTGCTATGAGTGAATGCTACATAGTACAAACTCGGCTCTATGTTACAAATTGAGGACCGTGGCATTTAAGAGCTTTTACGTGTAATTACAGCTATGTATGATTTTTTTTAAATTTAGACAGATTTAGTATAATATGACTACGCCCCAAACTCGTATCAGCAGGCGTTGTGTAAGGCAGCTCCTCACTAGATGGAGTGACGACCTGGTAAGACATGCAGAAAGCCGATGGATGCAGGTGGCTCAGTACCGTGCATAGTGGCGTTCTTTGAGGGAGACCTATGTTCAGCAGTGGACTTGTGAAGGACTGTAAAGAAGAAAGTGAAAAAACAAAAGAATAAACATATGACAAACCTGGTTACAATGCGCAACACCACAGTTCCTAACAAGACGTTTTATCTGTTTATTACGTACACGTACGTACGTACACGTACGTACGTACACGTACGTACGTACACATTAACTCTGAAAACTCCGTACTAAGAACATGTCGAGGTTACAACGAGATATATCCATGAAAAATCCGGTTAGGATTTATTGACTTTAGATCCAGAACATTCAAAAGGGCAGTAAAACATCTTGAATTTACATAGTCTCATTCTCATATCGCTTTAGTATTAAGTATGTAGTTCACTAAGCTTCAAATATTGTGTACTGAAGAGTAAATCTCATAGGTTACTAATGTGACAATGAGGTGTGATGAAGTATGATAAATATGTGTTTTTTACGTAATTTTATTGCTATCTGTTTTGTTATCCATTTAATAAATGAACCAATTAAAGATGTGTTTAGTTATTATTTTTATTTTCCATGTTGAATTTAGTAAAACGAAACACTTTGAAAGCACCTTGGTTACTTGGTGTTTGTATGTCTGTCAGTATGTTTTTAGCACAGGCAATTTCACATTTTATTCAAATACAAACGTAAGGGTTATATAAAAATTTTAGCTAAGAGATTAAATGAGCAGTTAAAAAGATTTCTTGAGATGATGGTGAAAATTATAATGGAGGATGAAGGTTTAAAAAGTATTTTTACATTAAAAAAATTGTGTTAGAAATTAATCTCAAAATTATTTAAATAAATGAATATATTTTGGTAACGTCTCGACATTATAAAACGTTCATGGAACACAGTAAGCAGTTGAAGTAAATACAAGATAACGCCAAAGTAGATGAAGTATGCAAACCCACAGCAACACTGTTTATCTCGATGTGACACAGGGCAGCTTCTCCGCAACATAACCTTTATTTGGACCAATAGAATTATATATATTTGTAGATGAATTACTAGAGAGAATGTATTATTCTTGTATACATCTATACAAGTAAATAAAATACTATTTTAAAAGCATGGAATTATTTTTTTAAATTATATACAAAGTGTCAGTTTATAATGTTAAATAAAAACTTTCAAC